AAAAAAAGCTCTGAAGTGAAATATAATAGATAAGAAAATGCTTGAAATTGCAGAAATAAATAACTGAAACTGATAATAGAATATACAAAACTGAATAAAAAGTGTATGCAAGCACATATGCATGTGTATTTAACATAATTAACACACACACACTAAACTTAATACACATAGAATTGTTGAAAGATTGCACTGAAAATATTGTTAAATCATAGATTGTAATTAATGTCAATTTCTCTACAAATTTGTTCTACAACAGGTATCTATATATTTTTATGTATGGCTGATGAGAGTCTTGTGTATTGAAATGCATACCAGTAATATAGTTACATTCTGATGATAGAAGTGTCATTTTGAGGTTACCAGTAGCAGTGTGATAAGTCTCTGTTATTTCTACTAAAGTATTTAGATATCCTTTTTAAAAGAATACAAATTTTCACAAACCATATTATTTTTAAAATTATCATATTCTAAAAGATTAATTTTTGAATATATATTTAACATCAGACATCATTCAAGTTTCCAAATATAAATTTATTTAATTATAAAAAAATATTCTTTGATTATTAAATATTAAATAATTTAAGTTAGAATGAATTACAATTTTCAATAATACCTATATTAACTTCAAAAAAATTAATAAGATGCATTACTAAGATGAAAAAATAGAATGTATAATCTCATATCTACAGATGTGATTCTTACTGTGAAATAAAAATTTAAATATAAATTAGAAGAATCAAAGATATCATCTTTACTAGATATAAATATAATAATAAAATTGATTCTTCAAATTCAGGTCATTTTCTTAAAGAATAATACATCTTAAATTCAAATAAAAAGTGTAGTTGTAAAACCTCTAAAATAAAGCCAAACTTTATGCTATTTTAAATTTAATTAGTTTTACATAAAATGAAGAATATTTATGTTAAATAAAAATATTCATAAAGTAAAAAATGAAAAGAAAAATATAGAAGAAAGCTTTTTAATGTAAACATTTTTAGACAATTTACAATGTTATAAGTGAACTAAAATTACATTTATGTAGACTAGAATATAATATGAAACAAACTATCATACAGCATTATTTTTTTCCTTTAGTCTATCTACTCTTCAAGAGTTACTCTTCAAATGCATTTATTCCTGATGAAACTATATAAATTATTTGATTTTTAAATACTTAACTGATAATCTGCAGTATGTGTCTACAACATTGCAGATCTAAACTTTAAAAATCTTTACCATAAAAAGTTTTTTTTTTATAAAAATGAATTTAGTAAAAATAAAAAAAAAATCCAAGAATTTTGAAACAATTGAAAATTAATAAATTAGTGAATAAATGAAACCAATTGATGATAAACCTAATTAGAAATGCAGTACATAACAAACAAAACCAAAGATTTAAAACTTGTGGTTGAGTGACTAAAAGTATGTATGGTATGATACCACAGATTATAAACTTAAAATTATATTTTTTAAAAGTTTTAATTTAAAAACAAAAAACAGATACATGTATAATATTCTTTTAAGATTTATTTATTTTTTTATTTAGATCCTATAAACTTAAAATATCAGATAAGTTGATCTATGTTCTCTCAGCAACTGGTCTAATTCCAAAATATGCTAATAAATAAATTTCAATTTTATGTTCTCTTAAATAAATATTGTCTTAAGATTTACTGATATAGTAAAGTTTAAACATAATTTCCAAGTAGTCAATTATATAGTAAGTTTTAAAATTTACATAGAATAGCTATAATTTAAACATTTAATACTGAAGTATGTAATTTACCATAATTTTACACTCATAAATAAAACTAGGCCTACCTCATAGCAATTTATCCTATTGAGAAATTCACCATGTTATCCATTGCAATCTAAAGCCAATTCAGTAAAACTTTTTGTAAACATCAGTTCATCCCTAAGATTGTTCCAATCTCATCCTCTTCAAAATATATATTTAATGCAGTTTATGTTCAACAATTTGATTATTATTACTCCAAAAGTGAAAATTAAAAAAAAGGCACAGTATAACTGTTATATTTATTACTATAATCTATTATTTTTGAAAGAATATATGTAATAATTAAATTGAACTTAAGTAATTTGAAATCAAATCAAACATAGAATACAATATATTAACAACATTTTAAGAAAAATATAGAAGAAAGCTTTTTAATGTAAACATTTTTANTTTTCAGTTTAAGTATTTTTGAATGAATAATACAGAAAGTAAAGATCAGATAACCATTTTAATAAATTATATAATTTTTCAAAATTAATATTGAATTATTATTGGTATTGATTCATAAATTTATTGACTCTCCATAAAATTATAAAGTTATCTGAAATTTTATGAAAAGTTAAATTATTACTGACATTGTATCAAAGATAAGAACAATTTGATAGGAATTCTATTATTTCACTATCAAGATAGCTAAGAATTAAAAAAAAATCCAATTAAAAATTTATTAAAAATATACTTTATTTTTCTTATGTAGATTTAAAACAAAAGAAATATTTAAAAACACTATCATCAGAAAGTATTTTTTTCTTTTGATGATACTATTTGTGAATAAAATTATGATTTTAATATAAAAGTATTTTTTACAGTTTTATGTAAAAAAATAAATTTTTACCAAAAACATCAATGCAACATTAAATTGTACAATTATTTTTCTTGACAACAATTAAACAGCTACTATGGTAAAACCCTTTACTTCTTACAAAACAAATATTTTTGGGCATCAAAAATTCTGATTAAATTAGCTATGTTCAAATATAAAATTCTTCTCCTAATAACAGACAATAAAATAATGCAAATAGAAAAATTCTGAATTTTTAAAAAATTTTAAACATGACAAAACTTATTTATATCAGACTGAATTATAATATTAGAAATTTATATAAATATTAACTGAAAAGTTCAAATGATTAAATTTTCATTAAATAATAAGAAAAAATTATATTTTTGTTGCTTTCACAAAATAATTTATAGTATGGTTATAACAATACAATTAATTATTGTCAATATTATACTGAAAAGGAGTATAATGATGTATAATTGAATTATTAATCAAAAGAATCTTTAAAAACTAAAAAGTATATTTAGCTTTATAAAGATTTTTATATGTTGTGCATATGAATTTAATGTTCACTTTTTTTATTCCAAAAAATATAATTTAGTGATTATAATAACTGAACTGTCTTATTTCAGTTTTAATATACAATATGTTTCAATCTGTAATTTTTCATGTTCCAAACACTGATTATGTTTTGATTAATAAAATCTGAATTATATATATTTCATATTTCATGCCACATAATCCAGTGTCTTGAAGTTCCCTCCCATCTATTTCTTGTCACAAGATGGTTCAATAAAGAGCATTATGTCATTTTACTGCTTTTCTGCTTACCTGTAAGGCACATGAAGGTATATGAATATGTATTAAAAAAACTATAGGTTTATCTGTAATTACAATACAAATTTCATTATTAAATTCACTACTTAATTTTAAATGTAATACAATAGAGCATTATTTGAAGTAAACCTTGTCTTTCATTAAAAAACAAAGAAAAATTCTCAATGAGAAACAGATTAAATATTCGTATTATTTTAACTTATATGTAATGCTAAAAGAAATTATTATTTTTGTACTTACAACTTTTAAAAAACTTCAACCCTTACTTAAGAAATTTAAATATAATCAGTATATTTTTTTCATACTCAAAATTTTTAAAGTAAATTGTTTTATCTGATCACTATTAAATTCTCTCAAAAATAAAATTATACACTTTCAATTAAAGTACAGCTAGACAAAACATACTCAAGTTTTTAACTGTCACTTAACCTTTATAATCTTACTAGCAGATAAGTCGTGTATACATATATATATATATATATATATGTATACACACAAGATGTTTGTTTGCACACACACACACACACACACACACACACACACACACACACACACACACACACACGTAAGTGTATAGATGAAATAAAAGCTAATTTACTTTTCAAAAATTCTATTTATAGCAATACTAATTTTTAATATAATTCAGAAATAAATAAATAGACATTATTTTTAAGTGATTTTAAACTTACATTAAATACAATTCAATATAGGAATAAATGATACAGAAGAAAATTCAATAGAAAAGAATAGAAAGAAATTAGAATATGTCTTCATTCTGTAATAGATTGACACAGGCTAGAATGAATAAATGAATGAGTTTCATAATTTCAATCCCGATAATTTTCTGATAAGATATCATATATGTACATTTCTGAATGTATATATTACTTTTTGTAAATTTCATTAAGCTTTCATACTTTAAAAAAATAATTTAGGTACTTATGGGTTAAGAGAATGCCAGTTGGAAATAGCGATCAAAGTCGAGATTTTGAATGAAAATATCAAAATAACAATAGGCTAGTAAATTTAAATCTAAAAAGAAGAAAATTTACTGATAAGGTTGTAAAAATGAAAAAAAAAGTCAATTAGGATGATTATAGATATCACCTATTTGCCATATTTGCTGTATACACTACAAAACAATTTGCATATTCAAGTGGTTTATTATTAGAATTTGAGAGAGTTTGTTATATCTTTATAAATCATAATTTATTGTTTAATTTAACAATTGTATTAAATTTGACAAATAAAAAAATTGCATTATTCAGAAAAAAAGCTATTTCCGACTGTTGTCCTCTTAACCCATAAGTAGCATAATTTATTTACTGGTGTTTTCTTATTAATAAATGCACTGTATATTCACATAGAAAGAAATTTTTTGTTGGACCCAAGTATTTTTAATTCTAAATGCAATATAATTAAAATAAATCTATGCCATAATAATTTTATTAAATAAATACATTTTTATTTTCAATTTATAATATATAAAAAAAATTCACTTCTAATTTTTAATTGATTGTATTAATCTGTTTTGAAATATAATAATGCTCTATTGTAAAAGAATTATAATTTAAGAATCACCTCAAAGTTTTCATCATCATCCAAATCAACAAGATTAGTAGTATTTGAGCCTTGAGAATCATCTCTTCTGATTGTTCTTCCACTAGGATCAAAAGGATCAACAACAATTTGTTCAGTACCTTTTATTTCAGCTCGGCAAAATGGACATCCTTGACCTTCTGAATCCTGCTTACAGAAAGAATACAAAAACAAACTTCAGTATATAAAATCCTGTTGTTATTTTTAAAGCATTTTACAATTGAATTATGTCTCTTTATATAAATTATAAATTGTAATTACCAACCAATTAGATCAATTTCAATATCTAAAATATAACTAGAAAATTTAAATGGTGAAGATATAAATGTAACTTAACACCTGATCACTCACTGAGAGATTTATTAATAAAACAAATGTTTTCAATCCAATCAATGGATCATCAGGCTATATGGAACATTTCAAAAAATAGAACGACAAGTTCAAAATACAAAATATAAATATTAATAACCGTTAACATATATGCTATTAATAGCCAACAAATGTTTGTAAATAATAAAATTAATACAAATGCTGCTAATACTAAAAATAAAATAAAAATAGTCAAAAATAACAAACAAATTGTGAATACTATTTAGTATTATTAGTATTACTACCTCTAACTTAATAGACAAACTGTTAATACTAAATATTAATATTGCTTACTTAACTATACTAAGTTTTTCTACTTAGCTATACAGAGTTTTTACTACAAATATTATTAAAGTTCCTGTTCTTATTTTAAGTTTTTAATTGCAAACTTCCAGGCGGAAGGAAGTCCCTCTGCATCCCTTGCATTGATGAAATTTCCTTTAAGTTTGCTTCTATAAATTTCTAACTTTTCAGCCGTTCTTGCCAAAGTCGGAGAGTATATCTGTTTCAGGATTTCCGCTTCATCCCATCGTACTATTGAACCTTCCATTTGAGCCAATACTGTGGCATTAGAACCTTTTCTAATATCATATCTGTGCTCTTTTATCCTTACACTTAGGTTTCTAGTAGTAACCCCAACATATTCCTTATTTATTCCTAATATCTGATTCTCGTATGGGATCTTATATACACCCGACATATCTTTTTTAACCACCCCGTTATTGTTTCTAAGTATTCTGTACAAATTCAGAGCTCTTTTTAAGACCATCCTTGTATCTTTTATATTTGTGATTTCTTTCATAATGCTTCCTAAGTGCTTGTTGTATGTAAATTTCGTGTATGTAGGTGGACCTCAAACAGATACTATATCTGTACCAACTACTAATTTATTGATAATCCCCTTTATAACATTCCTCTTGTAGCCCTGCTACTTGCATGATTCTTTCTATTTCTGCATCCCTATCTGTTATACTTTCGCAGTATAAAAAAGTCCTCCTAACTAATGCTCGAAATGCTGCTAATTTATGTTTATAAGGATCATTGGAGCTTGCAGGTATATATAGTGGACTATGCGTTGGTTTAATAAATACCCTGGTAGATAAACGTCCCTCTCTAAATATAATATTAATGTCCAGAAAATGCACCATAACAGAGCTTTTTTGCTCTAGTTTTAAGCTAAGGCCTTCCTCATTATCGTTAATCCTATCCATAAAGTTAGCAATTACTCGATTGTTTTTCCATATTATGAATACATCATCAACATACCTTTTGTAGTATATAATATCGCTTTCGAAATTACACAGAACTTTAACCTCTAGTCTACTAACAACAAGCTCACATAGTAGCCCTGAAATTGGCCTTCCCATTGGGACCCCCCCTACATTGCTTATACATTTGACCTTCGAAAGCAAAGAATGATTCGCAGCAAACCAGGTTAACAATCTCTACCAACTCATTCCTATGATGTGCTAATGCAGGGTTTACTCTATTCAAGAACTCCAAAAGTGCTTCTACACAAGATTCAATCTTAATAGAAGGGAACAAATTTTCGTAATCTAAAACAGTCCCCACTTCCTCATCCACTAAGGTAACTCCTTGTAGTTCCTTGACCACCAATTCATTACTTTCCATCTTGGAGAAGATATACTCATGTAATCGTTTTTCAAGGAAAAATGTGGGTGCTTTTCGTTTTTACACAATAGGTCTTATTTTCTTGCCTTCTTTATGAGTCTTAGCAAAGGCAAATAATCTAGGGGTCCCTGGTCCAGAGTTCCTACATTTTACTAAAAAAGGTAAGATCTTCGCCAGTTTTGTTCCCTCCAGTTTTTTAACTCTTCTATCAATTGCTTCAACTATATTACTATTTATCTTAATACATCCTGTTTTACTGATGTATTACTCCAATACTTTATCATACCTAAGTTTTTTCATTATAACGATCTGCTTGCTTTTATCCGCTCTTGCTGCGTATAGTTAAGCAAGCAATATTAATACAGTAGAGCCTCGAAAAGTCGGCACTCGATAACCCGGCACTCCAGATAACTCGGCCACACCCTCGCAAGGCAAAAAAATCCTTAATTAATTTTCATTATAGACAGCTTTATGCCTCAAAGTATTTTTCTGGAGTCTGTCTTATCAGGTAAATTACTGTACACAGTGTATTCATTAATTTTCATTTTCATGTAGTAAAAGCTCTATGCCTTCATAAAGGTCGTACTTTTCCTTTGTTTAAGGATATTTGGGCAGTTTGTTCTCTGTTGTATTCTCAAGTAAACAATACATACAAATACAGTACAGTATTTTCTGAGGAAACACTCATACTTACTTTTTTTAACCCCATTCCCGATAATCCAGCATTTTCACAAACTCGGCCACCCTTCGGTCCACATTAGACCGAGTTTTCGAGGCTCTACTGTACTTAGTATTAACAGTTTGTCTATTAAGTTAGAGGCAGTAATATTTAGTATTCACAATTTGTTTGTTATTTTTTACTATTTTTATTTTATTTTTAGTATTAGCAGCATTTGTATTAATTTTATTATTTACAAACATTTGTTGGCTATTAATAGCATACATGTTAACAGTTATTAATTTTTTATTTTATATTTTGAACTTGTCGTTCTATTTTTTGAAATGTTCCATATAGCCTGAGGATGATCCATTGATTGGATTGAAAACGTTTGTTTTATTAATAAATCTCTCAGTGAGTGATCAGGTGTTAAGTTATTATTTTCTGCTGAGTACACTTTGGTTGTTGATATACATGTATTAAATTGTGAAAAATTCCTTTGTCAATTATTAAAATAATTGATTTATAACATAACAAATAAAAAATATCAAGCATGATGTGTTTTAATATAAAATTTTCTCAGTTCAATTATAATTTCAGTGTATATATTTAAGTAAAAATGAGAAAAGATATTCTAAACAGTAAATATTATCTGCAATATAATTTTACTTTAATTTAGCTGTTGCTTTGAACTAGAGTTTTTATAATAATATCTTCATTAATAATTGCACAAATTTAATAAAACTCAAACACACACACAAGACACTGTATTTCTCAATAGAAAATATATCTAAAAATTTTCTGTTGTTTACCAAGGTTTTATATAAATTAAACATTAATATTATAAGATATAACCATGACAATATAACAATAGTGATATGTGTTATATTATAAATCTTTCATTAATCTTTTGCATATTATTACTGCATTAAAATACAAACTATTTTGAAATTATAACCATAAAACAATTAATTTTTTTATTATATTATATTTAATTAAGGATGTAACTTCTCTTTACCAACCTGCCACGAAGTAAGACAAGGTGTACATAAAAGATGACCACAAGGTTCAATTCGAATATCTTTATCATTTTCAGCACATATTTTACATAACTGAAAAGTTGAGCCCATTTCACAATATAGTTCATATTGTTCCTGAGTAACTCTGATATGGTCCTCTGGTGTCGCTTGTACTGCCCAGCTAAGATCTGGGTTTACATTCCTTCCATCAGGATATAGATAACTAAAAATATAACAAAAATTTTGAGCAGAATCTTAAAAATATATACTCTCGAATTTAAAAAATAAACTTAACTTCCCAATATATAAAAGTGAATGAAGACAAATGTACATATTTGTCAGACTATGTTTGGACTAAGCTAAATAATTTGGCCTAAAAGAAGAGAGGTAGATCATATCATAAAATTAAATTAGATGTTCTTGTTACAAACTTTTAGATGGCAGCCTAAATAGATGGCAAGTTAGCTTTAGGCCAAATTATATGATATATATTTTAAACTAAGTAATTAATAATCAAATTTCAAAAAAAATTTAGCTTTATTTTGTTAATATGGGTAAATTAAAATTTATAAAGAAAATTTGATTTTTCCCTCCATTAAAAAAAAAATATAAATTGAAAGGTTTGAATAGGGAACATGAAAAAGTAGCCATTGAAAAATTTAAGTGAGGTTAAATTTGATTCCTTATGACAAAAGTTAGTGGATTTTCAATAATGTAATTTCTTCAAAATAAACTTAAATTACAGTAGAGCATCAATCATCTGAATGTCGATCAACCGAAACGTCAATTAACTGAAAGCTTTCCAGTCAGCAAATTTAAATTTCCACTAGTGCTGTGGTGCTGCAATCTTTGGCTATGTCTTGGGCTACTCCAATGTTATTTTTGTAGGTGTGCATGTTTTAGTTGGCAGCACTGGCACGACCACGAGAGGGTACTTAAGGATATGCCATGATTTGAACAAATTTCAACATGGGATATTTTTTCATACATAATTAGTTATCTGAAAAATTGATTTTCTGAACCCCAGTCCCCAATTGATTTGGATAATCAATGATCTACTGAATTTAAAAAAAATACAAAAGTAGGCATTATCCACAATTAGTCAACTTCAGAACTGATTCAATAAGAATTACCAATAATTAATTACAATTATCATAAAGTAACACATACAACATATTAATAATTAGTACTTGTTTATATTACTTAAAAAAATTGTAGCTAGATAGATAATGTAAGAAAATTATAGATTGCATGTTTTAGCAATTGCTAATTAATTTAATAACTAATAAAATAAAACCAATTTTGCATATTGCATTTGTATCTTTATTTGATACATTGCTTATAAGAATATGATACAATTAATATAAAGAAAAACTTTAAAAAATGAGAAAACAGCTATATAAACTGCATTAATTTTGAAAAGAATAATTTAATACAGTAATCATTTTATCATCTATTATTTAAAATAGCAACTAATTATACTTGATGATATAACAGTTATATTTAACAATCCTATCTATTTTGCAGGATCATGAGAGTACAGTAGAGCCTCGATTATCCGACCTAATTAGGGACTGGGGTTGGTCGGATAATTGAAAGGGTGGATAACCAAAAAGTTTGAAAAAAATCTATTATTAGTGTAGTATATTATTATATCCCATGTAATTAGTATATCGCTATTAACCTACTTTGCGTTGAATTTTCATCGATGTTAGGCCTAACAAAAATTTTTTAAAATAATAATCATCGCTATTGTATCGTTAAAAATTAGAAAGTTAAGCCTCGTTTAAATACTGGCTCCCTTTCATGGTCGATCCAGTGTTGCCAGCTAAAACACGTAAAAATAATATTAAAGTAGCCAAGACATAGCCAAATATTGTAGCGCCACATCAATAGCGGACATTTGAAATTTGTCAACTAGGATGGTCGGTTAACCGAGGGGTCGGTTGATAGGGGGTCGGATAATTGAGGCTCTACTGTATTTTCTGTGAAGAAATATCAAACAAATATGCAAACATTATGAAAAAACTAGCTTTAAAATATGCAAAAACTCAAACAAAAATGGCAAGGCCAATTGACAACAAATGATTTTTTGACTTTAATAAGAAAAAAGAAAGAATAATAATATTAAATCACCCATCAAACAAATTACAGGAAAAATTAAATAATATTTTAACAAATTTCATATAAAATTTATCATAATTTTCAATTTTTCTCACGTTTCAAAAATTCTTCACATTCTTCACTAACAATATTTTAAGTGAAATATATTATAATTTAACAAATTTTGAGTTAAAAGAATTGACTGCATTTATATGTATTTACTTCCATTTTCTAATTTTTCTTTACTTAGGCTTTATATTTATATCTCTGTTTATTATAAGAATTATAATTTTTTGGGATAGACCAAATAAGGGTTTTTGGATAATACAAAATACATAATAATTTGGCTGTTTGTTATCTAACACTAAATACTCTTACCTTTCTGAAATACTCTGCCTAAATATCAGCTGATTTATTTGAAACTGCCTGAAACAGAAGACTTATACTAAAAGCCTCAGAATAAGGTGAAGAGTAGCATCTTCTATTCAATACTAGCAATTATATATGTTTTTATTTTTCAAAAATATTATTATGTAATAAAAGTAAAAAATTAAATCTAGTCATTGAGTCCATCATTTTTTATTAGTTTCATAAAGAAGTGTATTTAACAAATGTACAGTATGTTCAGCAAAATGAAATATTTATGGTGACCAACAAAATCACTTACTTCCTATATTTTTATTCCTTTCCAAAACAAAACAATATTTTCAAATACCTTAGATTTTAAATGCTATTTTCTTTCTATTTTGCATTTTATATATTTTTTCCTCCCTTTTTCTCTTTCCCCAAACTAAAATGAGATTATTCAGCTGAATAGTTCAGCTTTGAGAAAGTCTTCAGCCCAAATATCAAATACATGCATTTAGTATTTAACTAAATACCAAATACTTTGAACAAATATTCTCAAATACCAAGTAATGCTGGCTATTCAGTTCAACACTAATAATTTTATTTAAAAAGAGTGTGTTATTTATATTATGCAAAATTTGTTTTTATTATTAGTTGTTAAGTTATGTAAATCATATATGTTATTTTGATATATTTTTTTAAATAAGCACAATTAACATTGTCTAAAATTTATTTTAGAAATGACATTAAATTTTTAATAATTTCATTACAATTCATTTTATAATTTCAAAAAGAAATAATAAAATTTGCAAATCCAAATTATAATTTAGCTTTCATTAATAGTTTGAGAAACACAAATCTCTTTGACTATGAAAACTAAAATAAAATTAAGTCTGTATTATGTCAAACTTTTAAATTAATTTACAATGTATTCATTTTAAACTCTTAAAGTTTTAAGATTGTTGCAATAACTCCTCAATAAAATGAATGCATCATACATTAAGTATTTTACATCATGTTATAACAGATAAATCACTGATTATCAGGCAACTGATAGTGGCATCATCTTTACTGCAGACAAAATTACAAAAATCTTACTTAAAATTTCCACAATTACTAGACCAGATCATTATTCAGTGACAGATGCATTGAATTTGGCATATGTTTTGGGATGTACTACTTAAAATGTAAGTACAGTAANGCATATGTATATATATATATATTTGCATAACTTTTTCCTATATAATTTAATAGTAAAAAATCAGGTGTCCGATTTTTTTCATTATATTGTTAGCATATGAAATGGGATAAAAGCAATCCTTAATAGCTAGGAGAAAAAATATTTTGGAGAACGAAATATGGAGAATTTGGAGAATATTTTGGAGAACGAAGTTCTATTTTTAGTATTAACATTGCTGTTCTAAAGTTTGAATCTCATTCTTTCGGTTTCTTGTTCCATTTCGCACATATTCAAATTCCTCATAACTGTAGCCTGATGAAGACCCAGATAGGGCCGAAAACATTCACTGTTTTGTAAACATGTATCACTGGAGTTTATAAAGGTTTTTGTGTGATGAATTATTTTGGAGAATTAATATTTCTATACAATTTAAATGATCATTTTGAGGTTACAAGAAGAAGGAAAGATAATATTCTAGAACAGACAAAATTTAAAGCAACATATAATCCAAATACCAATGATTTATAAGCATTGGTTAAAAAGCCCTCTTATAAATTTTTAAGACTTCTACATGCTTAGCAAGACCAGAATCTTGAATCTGCTTCATATTTGCCCCATCTCAGTACACAATGCACTTTGGTCATAAGGTAAAGGCCAAGAGAGTCATGCTATATTTGCCTGCTTGGTATCATAATACCACTGGATTGTTACAGTAAACAAAGCACTAAGCCAATTGTAACAAAGTCCAATTTTAATCATTTAATAAGAGCGTTTCTAGTTGTGCAGACACACAAGGCAAATATAATAAATGGATCAGAGATGTTAAAAGTTATTATTAAGTGACTTTTATTGATCCCAAAAACAGATAATTCATCAAGACTCGAACCAAAGGTGCCAGGAAAAAAAAAAAAAAAAAAAAAAAAAATCAGAAAAAAAATCAGAAATATACCTATACTTTTATACAAAACTTCAAATTTAAACTTTTGCCTTCTAACTTATTTAAACAGATTCAAAATTGAAATACTTACAAGCCTTCCCTATATCCATCCAGTAAAGCTTGACATAAAGACTTATTTTGAGGAATGGTTTGTAGAATACTGCCATCTGCAGTAACATAGCCAATAGCCCATTGACCTAACCTTGTGCAACTTAATCTAAATACATAACTGTCAAAATAAAAACAAATTCATTATATTTTGCTACAAGTAAATAAATTTTCTAAAATAATAATAAAGAAATACATACTTACATAAAAATTTTAGCCAAGCATATTTATTATATATTTAAGTATTATGTTTAAGTAAAATATAAATATACACGACCATTGAAACCCGATACCTTAAGCTAATACATCTACAACAGATGTAAATGATCAGGCTATATTTTGGATATACAGTAGAGTCCCGATAACTCAGCACTTCATAACCCGGCCACACCCTGGCAGGGCCAAAAAAACCCTAGTTAATTTTCATTATAAGCAACTTTATGCCTCAAAGTATTTTTCTGAGGTCTGTCTTATCAGGTAAATTACTGTACACTGTGTATTTATTAATTTTCATTTTCATGTAGTAAAGGCCTTCAAAAAGTACATACTTTTCCTTTGTTTAAGGATATATGGGCAGTTTATTCTCTGTTGTATTCTCAAGCAAATAATACATACAAGGACAGTACAGTATTTTCTGAGGAAACACTCGTACTTCTTCTTTTTTAACCCCATTCTCGATAACCCGGCATTTTCACAAACTCGGCCACCCTTCAGTCCACATTAGGCCGAGTTTTCGGGACTACTGTATAATAATACAAATTCATTTCTAATTTATAATTATATATCCAAAATATATCCCAATCTTTTAAGGCTGTTGTAGATGTATTAGTTTAAGAAAAAAAATTAAGGTTTAAAACAAAGACAGTTTCTTATGCAAAGAATATTCACATTTCTTTTTTATGAAATTATTTATTATTATTAAACATCTTTTCCATTAAATTATTTGTAATAAAATAAATCTCAATTTCTATACTTATTTTGTTAAAATGTAAATTTTATTAAAGAAATTGGGTTTAAAGTAATTTATTCTAGAATTATAGCAAAAATAAGTTATAATGGTTAAAATACTTTGAAAGTAATTCATTTTTAAACACATTTACTATTAAGATCCAGAAATTAAGATTTTAGATCTGTAACATTGAAAAATCATCTTTAGCATCAACAATATATGGATGATGATGACAATATATTATTATTTGGTATTTGTTTAATTCTAATAGTGCAAATTTATTGTCTTGTTTTATTAAATGTTTAACATTAAATTCCTATAACAAAAGTGAATCTATTATACATTTCCTTAAACTTATTCTGATTTCTTCCATTGTTTTTAAGATAAAAACTCACTTTTAATTTAGTGACTAAAAATTAAAATTTAACTCTGTACATTTCTTTTATGAATCTTCTTTGAACAGAAAAGCTCCAAATGCAGATTTTTCAATAGTTACATTACAATGCTTTTGCTATTCATATTATTTTTAACTTGATTAGTTACAGCAGCAACAATTGAAAGCTGAACCATGGAAGATTACAGCTATTATATATATATAATAGCTGTAATCTTCCATGGTTCAATATATCAGCTGTAATAAATAAATAAATAAATATATATATATTTATTTATTTATTTATGGATAATTTTTAAAACTAAAATAGTTTTAATAAATATGATAAATCTGAATACGCAAGCAGCAAGCCACATTAAAACAATATATGAATAACATGTTGGGTGCCGCAGGTATAAACATTTAAATATATGATACATATTTTTATACCAATAGAATTTTTATTGGACTTAAATGGTAATTAATGATTTTAAGAATTTTCTAAGATAAGTATAATTGCCATCTTTATTTGAATAAGAAATGCCTAGAATAATCAATTTACATATACAGTAGAGCATCAATTATCTTAAATTGACTTCAGAGAGTATTACTTCTAGAAATTACAATTTTTTTATGTAATAATGATTATTGCTAATCTTCTGTAGACCCTCTATTGAGTTATCACATTATCAAAACTAGTGTTAGGTTTTATTTATTACAGTACAAATAAAAATCATGATTAATGAGTCTGGCTTCTANAAATTTTATATAAAATATATATATATATATATATATATATTTGCATAACTTTTTCCTATATAATTTAATAGTAAAAAATCAGGTGTCCGATTTTTTTCATTATATTGTTAGCATATGAAATGGGATAAAAGCAATCCTTAATAGCTAGGAGAAAAAATATTTTGGAGAACGAAATATGGAGAATTTGGAGAATATTTTGGAGAACGAAGTTCTATTTTTAGTATTAACATTGCTGTTCTAAAGTTTGAATCTCATTCTTTCGGTTTCTTGTTCCATTTCGCACATATTCAAATTCCTCATAACTGTAGCCTGATGAAGACCCAGATAGGGCCGAAAACATTCACTGTTTTGTAAACATGTATCACTGGAGTTTATAAAGGTTTTTGTGTGATGAATTATTTTGGAGAATTAATATTTCTATACAATTTAAATGATCATTTTGAGGTTACAAGAAGAAGGAAAGATAATATTCTAGAACAGACAAAATTTAAAGCAACATATAATCCAAATACCAATGATTTATAAGCATTGGTTAAAAAGCCCTCTTATAAATTTTTAAGACTTCTACATGCTTAGCAAGACCAGAATCTTGAATCTGCTTCATATTTGCCCCATCTCAGTACACAATGCACTTTGGTCATAAGGTAAAGGCCAAGAGAGTCATGCTATATTTGCCTGCTTGGTATCATAATACCACTGGATTGTTACAGTAAACAAAGCACTAAGCCAATTGTAACAAAGTCCAATTTTAATCATTTAATAAGAGCAAGTTATACATCCACTATATTATTCCTATTCCTGTTACTCACTTACTTACAGGACATAGCAACTTTAAGCAATACTTGCATAGATTTAACCTTGGAGACAATCCACAATGCAGTTGTGGTATTCAGAAGGACCAAACACCACTTCATTTAATTTTTTATTTTCACTTCATTGCAATAGGTACGGTACAATCACATTAGGGATAGTTTAATGAGAGCTGCTATTCTTGAAGGGCACAACTGGCCTTGCAACCCGCACCATCTCATTCACATGCGTACAATGTTCCATCATCTACTCGCATTCATATCCCTTAGTGGGGCTCTTGAGAGCACTCACTCCGGTGACACAGATGGCAATTAGCTTTCCCTTGCTTTGTTTCAACTGTCAGTATATAGCTGCCTTTCAACTTTGTATTTTAATTCTTATTTTCTGTTTTCTTTTTCAGTCTAAATTCGGTTAGTCATAGTTTTAAGTTAGATTACGGACTCTTAGCTTGGTTTACGGTTAGGTTATGATAGGTTAGGTTAAATTAGATTAGGGTTTGTTAGCTTTAGTTGTCTGGTTAGGTTTGTCCTAGGTTATGGTAGGTTAGGTTAGTAAGTTAATGTTTAAAAAATAAAATAAAAAAAATATTAAAAAAATTTTGGGGTCATGCTCATTTGTCTCGTCTAGTTTGTCACTGTTTGTTTATTAAGATTCACAATTGCATTCAGTTTTATTAGTATTAAGTAGTTATAAGTCTTCCTACTAACAGCCATTTGGCACTAATTTCTACACTTGGCCTGCTAAGTGCAAATTATTATGCAATGACAAGATTAACAGGAATACATACATACAAGAAAGACATCAGCCGTACACGAAGTGTTTAGCTGGCAGATAAGAGGGTAAGGAAAAGGGGGAGAAGGAGGGAGAGGAAATAGACAGAGAAAGGTAGGATCCCTCTGAACAGCATACATAAGGCTACAGTACCCTCTGTGTTTGATGTTGGCATGCAGTTTTTAGGGTGCAAGGCCCTAGTCCCCTGAAGGGTCTAAAAGTAAACCTGAGTGTAGCGAACACCAATAATTGAGTGCTGTTACAAATAGGATGATGTTGAAAGACAAAATTTAAAATTTTTCAACTTTTTCAACTAATCAATGTTCCTACCATTGACAAAAAGTTATGCACCCAGAAATGTCCAATTACTTCAAATCTCAGCATACAGCTATCTCAGACAAGTATGTAAATGATTACCATTGTCATCCAATTGCATGCCAGAATATGTCACTATAATGCTTTAAAAATCATTATCCCAATATCCCAAAAACTTGCAAAGACTCTGTGTTCACAATTTTCAGTGTACCTGTTTGGAAGTCTTTGAATGCCAGGGTATGCAAGTGAGATTCAGTCAGACATCATGCACAGCTGAGTAAGTTTGAGAAAGGCTACATCTTTGGGATGTGAAAAGCAGGATTGCCAATTTCCCACCATCAGGAATGTTCTGACTAGCTGTGAAGAGGTATTCATGATCAGAGTATATATACGTAGTGAGCAAACTCTGGACACTCCAGACAAACCAGCAGAGAGATGCTTGTCTGATTGTGAGACATGTATCAACAGCTGCAATAGCATCTTTATTCACCATCCAGAGATAGGTGTAAATTTTGCTACAGATTCCTCTTTTCTCATACCTAAGCAAGCAAGGAACTAATAGAGGCATACTCATTGGCATGCTGATCTGAAGAATCGTCTTGTATGACACTGGTGTGCAAGTGGTGCAAGACATACTAACAGCACAGCAATACATTCAGGAAATTCTGCACACATTTGTTGCCTTTCAAGATAACAGTCAATTGTACAAACCTAGGATTTCCCAGGAATATCTCTGTCACACCACCACAATTACTTGGCCTGCCCAGTATCCTTAGTGATCATCCATCAAACATTTATGGAACCAAATGTAATGCCAGCTTTGCTCAACTACAACTGTGAGGAATCTGGAAGAGCAGTTGCAACATTCCATGGCAAATCTGTCAGAAGATAGCATACAATCCTGTATGCCTCCATGTCTGACCATATTATCCAGGCAAAAGATAATCCTACAAGATACTAAAGGTTCCTTTAAATTGTGCCATTTTTGCACAGGAAATTGTCCCTTTGCTATGACATTATGAATTAATAATAGCAATAATAGTAAGTGAGACTTTATTAATAATAAGTCAAGTGTGTGTGTACACACACACAAACACACACACACTTGACAAAAACACAAGCACAAGTTATATTTACAGTACAGTAATACCTCGACTTATGCGAACCCGGAGTTACATGATTTTCAAATCTCATCGATTCGTCTTTTGTTTGAGCGCCCCGCAACCCTTGATTACTCACTCACCCCACACTATTGTTCAGCTTATATGTTCGGATGTGTCGTGCAGAATCGATGCATAGTTACAATTTATTGTGTGTTATTTATTTCTGTTTGTTATATCTACGGAGACTTGAGAGACTATGTGGTGATTTCTTGTAACCATGAATGAATCAAAAGACAAGATAAGATTAACAAGAACATTTATTAGCTTACATACATCCGACTTGGATTTTACACAAATTGCAAAATTATACCCCGACTTATGCAAATTCGAATTATGCGGTTATCGCTTGGTCCCACCTATTGCATAAGTTCGGGGTATTACTGTATTCACAAGTAATATATATACACTGTAAATATATGTACACACAACAGTAACAGATATTTGTGCATTAGTTTTATATAATTATGTTATATTTGTCAGATTATGCATTTATTCTCTTCATTACTCAATTATTTAAGAAAATAATTATAATTTAGTAATAATAACAAAAGTTAATTTTACATTACCTTCCAGGCTTATTTGTATATTTCTGTAATCTTGCTTTCACTTCATCATATGTAAGGAATGCTACATATCCTGGATGAGTTACTGCTAATATCTGCCAGTTTCGTAATAATGTTGACCAGGGTTGAAATAACCTTAATATATAGAGAAAAATTAAATTTTATTAAAGAATCAAAACAATTATATTCAACAGGTTCACACATAAAAATTTTGAAATTAAAACTCAACAATCCCAATAATCCTGCTCTAAAAAAAACCCATCAAAATAATCAATGTAACATTAGATAATCTAATCTATAAGTAAAATGAATTTTTTTTTTATTTATTTTNTGTGTGGTATCACACCTGTACAGGAGAGAACAACAGGTACAATAACTACCCTATCCATCCTCCACAGATGCCTTATTTCCTGGGCAAGTTCTGTGTACTTGCTAATTTTTTCAGTGCATGTGTTTTGTACATTGTGAGTGTTTGGAATGGCTATATCTATAATGTATGTGATTTTATTGTGTTTGTCAATGAGTGTGATATCTGGTCTGTTGTGGTAAATTGTTTTATCTGTGATTATGGCTCTGTCGTAGTACATTTTGTGCGTGTTGTTTTCCAATACTGTTTTGTGCGTGTTGTTTTCCAATACTGTTATTATGATTATTATTATTATTATTATTAAAGTCTATTTTGAAGAAATTTTTATACATTTTATTAAATTTATTACAAAAGTTGCTTTTAGCCCTTGATATAATTAAATTAATTAAAATATCTACAAATGTGAGGCAGATAATAGTAGATATTTTAATTAATTTAATTTAAATTTAATTACTTTTCATATCAAATTACTTTATTATTTGTTATAATTTAAATTTTATTTGTTTATTAGATTCTTGACAATACTGTAATTCAACCAATAAAACTATTCAGATTTAGCTGAAGTATTATTTCTCAAGTATATATAAAATAATATTGAAAAATTCCTTTATATTTAACTCTAAATTCAACAATTTAGTTATTAATATAAAACATTATTAGTTGAATTTCACTTAAAATTCTGAATTATTATTTTTTATTTTCCCAAGAAGTTTAGTTCAGTGAGATAGAAAAAGTTAGCATCCTAAAATTTGTCCTGAGCTAGAACCCAGTTGGTCCATTTATAAATCTAGTATCATCCAATTGTAAAGAGATTGACATTAGATTCATTGTTTGATCTTTAAGCATTTTATCTATGCATTCTACTTTTACTAACATGCTATAAACTAATTGTTTATAGTATGTTAGTCCTTACAGAAATAATGTTTATTTCTGTAAGGACTAAGGACTAACATACTATAAACAATTAGTTTATAGCATGTTAGTAAAAGTAGAATGCATAGATAAAATGCTTAAAGATCAAACAATGAATCTAATGTCAATCTCTTTACAATTGGATGATACTAGATTTATAAATGGACCAACTGGGTTCTAGCTCAGGACAAATTTTAGGATGCTAACTTTTTCTATCTCACTGAACTAAACTTCTTGGGAAAATAAAAAATAATAATTCAGAATTTTAAGTGAAATTCAACTAATAATGTTTTATATTAATAACTAAATTGTTGAATTTAGAGTTAAATATAAAGGAATTTTTCAATATTATTTTATATATACTTGAGAAATAATACTTCAGCTAAATCTGAATAGTTTTATTGGTTGAATTACAGTATTGTCAAGAATCTAATAAACAAATAAAATTTAAATTATAACAAATAATAAAGTAATTTGATATGAAAAGTAATTAAATTTAAATTAAATTAATTAAAATATCTACTATTATCTGCCTCACATTTGTAGATATTTTAATTAATTTAATTATATCAAGGGCTAAAAGCAACTTTTGTAATAAATTTAATAAAATGTATAAAAATTTCTTCAAAATAGACTTTAATAATAATAATAATAATAATCATAATAACAGTATTGGAAAACAACACGCACAAAACAGTATTGGAAAACAACACGCACAAAATGTACTACGACAGAGCCATAATCACAGATAAAACAATTTACCACAACAGACCAGATATCACACTCATTGACAAACACAATAAAATCACATACATTATAGATATAGCCATTCCAAACACTCACAATGTACAAAACACATGCACTGAAAAAATTAGCAAGTACACAGAACTCGCCCAGGAAATAAGGCATCTGTGGAGGATGGATAGGGTGCTTATTGTACCTGTTGTTCTCTCCTGTACAGGTGTGATACCACACACACTACACAAAAGCCTGGGAACATTAGAATTGAGTAGAAATACATACATAACACTACAGAAGGCCACTATATTGAATACATGCCACATTGTTAGGAAATTCCTGAATACAGACACTGACACACTTCTTTAATTTCAGTTTTGTTTTGGTTGCTATGCCTTGACTTTGGTCCGGCATAGTACACAGCCACCGGTGTGAACCGAGTATAACTCACAAAACCCATCATAATAAATCACATCAGGCATCACATTCATTGACAAACAAACAAAATCACATACATTATAGACATAACTGTACCAAAATACCCACAACATACAAAATATGTACACAGGGAAAAAAATGCCCAAACTTATCCATGAAATAGTGTGTGTGAAGAATGAGATACTTATTGTACTAGTAGTCCTCTCTTGCTCAGGTGTCATACTAATATACTTATTACACAGAAGTTTAAGAAGTCAGGAAATTCTTAACACAGGTACATCATAGATGAACAAAACTTTTTCTGTAGCTATCTACGCCTTGACCTTGGTCTGGCATAGGAGCATGCTCCAGGATACCTTCCATCAACACCACCCCATCATATATATATATATTAAACACCATAGTTTTGTGCTGATAAACCACAGGTTGTATTTGAAAGTCAATTTGAAAGCAGGTGTCAATTATGGAGTGATTTGGATTAACTGAAGTTTTTAACTCCTAATTACAAACTCATCCAACAGGTTTTCCTTTACCTGAACTTATCAAACACATCTCATCTTTAAAAAATACATGAAAACTATATGAAACAGTCATTAAACTGCCATAACAATGTTTCTCAAAACATGCACAGCCTTTAATTCTATCCTGTTCATTTTCCATATTTCAATCCATGCTTTACATGATATTATTAGTAGGCACTCTTACTTGAACTTTATCTCGAAAGCATGTAAATGTTTAGTAATGCCCCTCCACATCAGATCTATTGCAAAAAGTATAAGAGGTAGCCTAGGATCACTGCAATGTGGATATATCACTTACACAATAAACATGAAACACTAAAATGGCAGTGTATTGGAGAAAACCTGTTCTTATTGAGGAATGTAATGGTTTCCTCTCAGAATATTGAAACAAATTTATATTTATTGCCTATCAAAGTACATTAATATAATAAACAGTAAAGATTCCACTTATCTTGAAGAATTGTGGCAACCTGTCTTGGATAAAATGAACTTTGAACAACTAATTAGATCAATGAAAATAAAAAAGAAAATTAAGTTAGAAGAGAAAATGGAAATAAGATGATAAGGCTTCTGTGGAGAATGGATCTCTCTTATTTCCTGGTTGAGTTCTGTGTACTTGCTAATTTTTTCAGTGCATATGTTATGTATGTTGTGAGTGTTTGGAATGAATATGTCTATAATGTATGTGATTTTATTGTGTTTGTCAATGAGTGTGATGTGTGGTCTATTGTGGTAAATTGTTTTATCTCTGATTAATTTAAGGCTCTGTTATAGTACTGGTACATTTTGTGCATGTTGTTTTCCAATACTGTCTATGGGATGTATTTGTAGTATGGTTCATACATGTCTAATAATTTGTGTTTGTTTGCAAGCTCTTGGTGTATTATATTTGCTACTTGATTATGTCTATGTAAATAATAATAATTTATTATTATTTTACCATTTACCAACATTACCATATTATTACAGTATGAGCGTTGATTATCCGAATGTTGATCAACTGAAACGTCGGTTAACTGAAAGCATTCCAATCGGACTGTGTCATACTGAATCAAATGTTTTTGATACTAGATTAACTTCTAAAGTATAATTTTTTTGTTTTTATATTTTTCAATATATTTATTTTGTTTGTACAAAATATAGAAATAATTTTTAACAATACAATAGCCACAATTATTATTATAAAAATTTTTGTTAGACTTAACATTGATGAAAATTCAACGCAAAGTGACACGCAACGGAGAAAAATTTAAACATGGGATATACTAATATACCATATTAATAATGTATTTTTTCATACATAATCAGTTATCTAAACAACCCCAGTCCCTAATTGATTCAGATAATCGACACTACTATATTATTATTATTATGTTGGGTTTTGTGAGTTATACTCGGTTCACACCGGTGGCTGTGTACTATGCCGGACCAGAGTCAAGGCATAGCAACCAAATCAAAACTAAAATTAAATAAGTGTGTCAGTGTCTGTATTCAGGAATTTCCTAACAATGTGACATGTATTCAATATAGTGGCCTTCTGTAGTGTGATGTATGTATTTCTACTCAATTGTAATGTTCCCAGGCTTTTGTGTAGCGTGTGTGGTATCACACCTGTACAGGAGAGAACAACAGGTACAATAAGCACCCTATCCATCCTCCACAGATGCCTTATTTCCTGGGCGAGTTCTGTGTACTTGCTAATTTTTTCAGTGCATGTGTTTTGTACATTGTGAGTGTTTGGAATGGCTATGTCTATAATGTATGTGATTTTATTGTGTTTGTCAATGAGTGTGATGTCTGGTCTGTTGTGGTAAATTGTTTTATCTGTGATTATGGCTCTGTCGTAATACATTTTGTGCGTGTTATTTTCCAATACTGTCTGTGGAATATACTTGTAGTATGGTTCGTGGATGTCTGCCAATTTGTGTTTCTTTGCAAGCTCTTGGTGTATTATATTTGCTACTTGATTGTGTCTATGTAAGTAATCTGTCTGTGCCAAGAGCTTGCAACCAGAAGTGATGTGTTGTATAGTTTCTGGCATGATGTGACATTTTCTGCATGTGTCATTTGTGAGTGTTGTATCTTTGAGTATGTGTTTTCTGTAGTTTTTAGTATTTATGACCTGATCCTGTATGGCAATCATGAATCCTTCCGTCTCCCCAAAGAGGCATCCCCGATCTAACCAGCTGTTTGACGCAGTTTTGTCAACAAAATCCTGGGCCAGGTCGTAAGGATGCCTGCCATGGAGAGCCTTTTGAGCCCATGATTGCTTAATGTTGTCTATGCTTTTTATATGTTGTGTCATGTCTGTATGTTGTGAGTGTAAGTTTAATGGTGTGTTATTTGAGTCTGCTAGAGTTACTGCTTTATGTAACTGTGATGTTTCTTGTTTCTTGTAGAAAAACTCTCGCAGTGACTGTATTTGTTTGTAGTGAAGGTTAACTATGTCAATCAGGCCACGTCCGCCTTCTTTACGTGGAAGGGTTAATCTTTCTGTGGCGGATTTAGGATGATGTTGTTTATGCTTAGTAAGTGTTGTTCTTGTTTTCCTTTGGAGTTGCTCGAGATCTGTGTGAGTCCAATGTATAACTCCAAAAGAGTATGTGAGTACTGGGATGACATATGTGTTTATTGCTTTAACTGTGTGTTTTGCATTTAACTGTGTTCTAAGTATAGCGTTTAACCTACTTTGGTATTCTTTAATTAATCGTTGCTTTATTTGTGTATGTTCTGTTAGTTTGGCCTGTTGGAATCCTAAGTACTTGTAGAACTCGCCCTCTTCCATGGATTCAATAACGTCTCCATTTCCAAGTGCAAAATCTTCTTTCTTCAGGATTCCTTTTTCTATGTGAAGTTTTTTGCATTTGTCTAGGCCAAACTCCATTTGTATGTCCTTAGTGTATGAATGTGTGATTTGTAGGAGTTGATGAAGTTGTTTTTGTGTGGATGCATAAAGTTTTATGTCGTCCATGTACATGAGATGTGACAGTGTAAACTGTGTTGTTTTTTCATGTCTGATATTGTAGCCATATTGCGTGTTGTTTAACATGTTGGATAATGGATTCAGGGCTAGGCAGAACCAGAGAGGACTCAAGGAATCTCCTTGAAAAATTCCTCGCCTAATGAATATTTCGTTTGTTTGTATGGAAGTGTTACTAACCCTGAGATGCAGTGTTGTTCTCCAGTGCTGCATAGTGTTTTCGAAGAATGCAATGAGTGATGGATGTATTTTGTACATGTGTAGAATATGTAGCAGCCAACTGTGTGGAACACTGTTGAATGCTTTTCTGTAGTCTATATATGCCATGTGTATGTTTCTGTGTTGTTTGTGTGCTTGCCGTAAAATGACTAAATCTATGAGTAACTGTTCTTTGCATCCCCTGTGATTTCTACGGCAGCCTTTTTGTTGTTCTGTCAGAATGGCGTGTTCTTCAACATGTTTGTATATTTTGTTTGTTATTATTATTATTATGGTAATATTAGTAAAGTACAGTATATTTTACATATTAATGCCATTTTGGGTCAAGGTCAAGACAAAACTACAGAACAAACTATTATTGTGTGTACATGTTTTTTGTTTAATTAAGTTATGGCAATGCAACATGGGTGATCTGCTAGAGAAAAATGCCTTCCAGGAGGTCTTTTTAAGGGTAACTGTCCCCAATTCAGGCATTACAGACAGAGAAAAACCCAGAAAAACTCCACATGGCTAGCCTGCCTGGCGAGGCATAAACCCAAGACCAAACTCTCAGTGTTCAAGGAACGAAACTGCTTTGCAATTGGTCGGCACATGCTATTTGAGTATAGGTGTTTAAGATTTTTCTGATTATATAAGATTTTTCTGATTATATATTCTGATTATATATTCATAATAGCATGTGCTATTATGAAGCCCTAATGTTTCTAAACTTTTGTGCAGTGTGTGGTATGAGACCTGTGCAAGAATGATTACTGGCACAATAAATACCTTAGCCATTCTCCACTGTTTTTTGGGGGCCAAGTTTGGAGTATTTAATAATGATTTCTGTGTAGGTATTTTGTATGTTACGGATATTTTAGTACAGCTATCTCTACAATGTACATAATTTTTTTTATCTTTGTCAATGAATGTAATGTCTGTTCTGTTATGATAAATTGCTTTATCTGTGATTATGGCTTGGTCATAGCATGTTTTGTGTGTAGTTTTTGTCCATCTGAGGTGTGTATTTGTAGTATGGTTTCTGAGTGTTTAATAGTTTCCGTTGTGTGACAGCTTTTGATATAACCAAATAGCAAATGTAATACATCAATGTAAATAGTCTGTTTGTGCTAAAAGCTTGCAATGTGTTGTACTATATAGTTTTGGGCATGTTAAATTAATTATTATTATCATTATATATCAATCATCATCTGTATACCTTTATTATTATACTCATTATCATCATCAAATTATTTCATCATATATTATCATTATATATAAATAAAATGGTATTACGTAATACTAAATGTATGCGCATACCTTGTAAAAACATCAAATTCAAAATTTGATATGTAATCATTACATGTCAAATCTATTGTAGATTTTAAAGCCATTGCTTCTAAACCAGAACTGATTGGATGAACTTGGTGTAGCGTTTGCCGGAATAATCTCCATGTTATAATTGTTCTAAATTTAGAAAATACAGCATTTTATTATTATAAAAAAACTTCGGTTAATTGCTTTTNAATCGGTACATTCACCGACATTGGCGAATTGCGCAGAAAAAATTGAAATATATAAAAGCAAATTGCATGATTCATGCATCAATTCTAGAGATTCTGAAGGGTTGCCTTCGGCCTGGAAATACTTTATCAAACGATTGGACAAATCTTAATTTATTGCGGCGATTTTAATATTTTTTCGCATAAAGTGCATTTCACTGAATTTCTATATAACGTTTTAATATTTAGTTAACCTATGCTTATTTTTTCGTATACATTTTTTGTTATTTGTAACAATAATTTTTATTTATTTTATTAGTCTGTATACATTTATATATATATTTCGCTCGTTATTTTATTTTATTTGTATTTAAATTTTTGTTCTATTTTATTTATATTCAAATGTTCTTAGCCTGACGATGGCCAACTGATTTGGCTGAAAACGTTTGCTTTACATTAAATTTTTTCTCAGCAAATTAAGGTGTTGTGTTTTTTTGATTTATATACTAATGCTGAGTAAGTGTACATCAACATATTCTGAAATTCTCAATGAAAGAAAACAAAAATGTAAACAATTAAAGATGGGGATACTTTTTCCAAAAAATGTAAGAGATCCGAAACTAAAATTTTTTAATAAAAACATTTCACTTTATTTTATGATAAAATACATTTTAAAAATTAAATTTATTTGTATTCTGTATTATATTGTATTAATAAACAAAATTATTTGCATTATTTTTCACTTATGTAGAACCTAACTCTATACCTCAGTGTAAACATTGATTCATTTTACACCAAATCGATTTGCACCGGCTTTTGTAGGAATGGAACTGCAGTGTAAACCGAGGGCTACCTGTACTGCAAAAACGTTTGACCATCTTTAACAGTCTTCGTCAGTTAAACAATAAAATAACAAAAAAAACATTAAAGAAAATAGAACATAACGAAATTAAAAATATGAAAAATAATAAGTGCGCATGCATATACAATGTCGTGCACTTGGGGAGTATTAGCATATTTTAGTATAATTAAAACTAAATAATGTCTTCTTATGACAAGAAAACTGAAAAATAAAGTTTTCACAATCTATTGTATAAGTTCAAAGTAATAATTAATAAATGGAGTTGTGACTTCAATTTATGACTAAGAACTACATATTTATAAATTCATGTAAGTTGAGAATTCACTGTATATTAATAGCAAATAATTTGATAAATTAAAAAAAAATAATAAAATCAGGTTTTTAATAAGTATATTTAAAATTACCTGTACTACTTCATAATGTTCATGTACTATATGTATATAGTTTAAGAATTATTTTTATAACTCATACTTAAGTAATATGGTTAGCTTTACTAAGATTTCAAATGTATTTATTACAAATTTGATCAATGTAAAACATTAAAAATATTAAAATACTAAACGTTTAGGTACCCATGAGTCAAGTTATTAAACTTAATAGTCCAATAAATGGCATCCGAATCCATAGTGTGAATGAATGTATCCCATATCAGTTCATTCAGGAAAACATCTTATGACACAGTAGCACTTCCGGCAATCACAAACTATCGTTAGTGAGACAAATCTACTTCTTGTTGGCCAGAAGATAGATATCTGACTGACAAGAAATATATATCTATCTCTCCTTAGCCACCTTGAATTTTCCCGCTCAAACTGGCCTTATATATGCGCTAGGGTGACCGGTGGTCGACCAATCAGGGTCTCCGTGCATCTGTAGCTCTACGTTGGGTTAACGTATCCTTTCAACTATGGAAAGTTTGATGGATTAACTTTGCGAGTTAGACAATGATTGGAAGCAAAGTGCAAATGTTAAAAGGAGCATCATCACATCCATTCAACCATATTCTGAAATCAAAAAAACACAACACCTTAATTTGCTGAGAAAAAATTTAATGTAAAGCAAACGTTTTCAGCCAAATCAGTTGGCCATCGTCAGGCTAAGAACATTTGAATATAAATAAAATAGAACAAAAATTTAAATACAAATAAAATAAAATAACGAGCGAAATATATATATAAATGTATAAAGAATAATAAAATAACTAAAAATTATTATTACAAATAACAAAACATGTATATGAAAAAATAAGCATAGGCTAATTAAATATTAAAATGTTATATAGAATCGCCGCAATAAATTAAGAGCTGTCCAATCGTTTGATAAAGTATTTCCAGGCCGAAGGCAACCCTTCAGAATCTCTAGAATTGATGCATGAATCATGCAATTTGCTTATATATATTACAATTTTTTCGGCGCAATTCGCCAAAGTCGGTGAATGTACTGATTTAATAATTTCTGCTTCGTCCCATTTGACGATTGAGCCTTTAACTTGCGCCATTTGCGATATTATCCAAAGGGCCTTTCTCTATTGCAGTAGTGTGTTGGATAGGCAAAAANTGTGACCTTGAACTTGACTAAATATGCCAATTTTATAAATTGAAACGAAATAAGATTGAACTCGTTATAACATTTATATTGAAGATAAACTAACTTAATTTGTAATTTAATAAGTTGAATTTTAAATATACATATACGATACGTTATGATTTAAATTTTCCTACGCGAAAATCTAATTCTACGTTGTAGAACAACTGTCTGTCTCATCTGACACGGACTGACTCACGAAAACGAGGGGAGAAGCGTATGTGGAGATAACTTTGACGTTAGACGTTTGTTATCAATACCGTGAACTGAAATCTGGCTACAGCATACGCATTGATAAATAATGCATTTATTCATAAGCATGTGGGAAATAGAAGCAAGCTGACACAAATATATATCAACAGCTGTAGAAAGAATTGTATTTCCGGCTGTCGATCAGGAAGCGTATAAATGAATTTCCTTGTGGAATAAATTGTTAAATAAGAAATGAATTTATGATTTAGAAATAAGCTGACTTAAAACGCCTTTCGTGTCAATTTCTTTTTTTTTTTTCGTTTCAAAACAAATATCTCATAAATCTAACTTTCAAATATACTTAAAGAGCGCCAATTATCACACTATTGCAAACTCCCACCACAGGAAACGTTCGAGGACTTCCGTCTGTTTTCTGTTTTCAACACACAGGAAACAGCGAACATAAGTCGCAAAGCTCTGAGGACACTGTTAATAACAATTTAAATCTCGTTACGAGGAATACTCTAATCGACCTTGACCTTTCTACATTCTGAGGTTTATCATTAAAATGCTTTGAAAATTAATATTTTTTTCCTCTTTCTTTTCTTTCCAAAAATGGTGATAACAGGAAACAATTTATCACAAATGTATAAAAATACCTCATACTCATTCTATTAAAGTGTTTGTTAGCTAAAGTTATTTGTTGATTAAAAAAAATACTTTGAAAAGGTTCGTGTTTTAAGCATGTTTACGACGAATTATTATTCAATTACGTTATGGAAGAAAATGAATAAAACTTATAGAAGCCAAAGAACTGCATTTGCAGCTGTTGAAGATTCCAAAATCATTTACAACATATTTAATAATTTATATACTAGTATTACTGGAAATTCCAAACTTTTACAATTGAAAATTTTAAATATGATTTTTAAAAAATTATTTTAAGTTACAACTTTTTTCAATTTTATAAGCATTATAAATACTTAAATATAAACTGTAAAATAAAAAAATAATAAAATTAATAATACTCTTAAAAAAACTTTTAAGATGTATTTCTTTAAAACAATTCAATACAAGTTAAAACCACAACATTTAAGAAATATTCGTGGTAATGTTTTAAATGAATTTTAATGTGGTGACACTGAATGATTCATTTAAAATACAGTTTAATTTCCAATATAAATTTATAGAGGGAAAGCTATCTGATAAATAATTATTTATCAAAGTTTATCTGAAATTACTGTTCAATTTAGATAACTCCATTCATATCCTGTAAATAATAGTTGGTTTTCCCCAGTAGTAATAAAAGAAAATTTATTTTGCATAAGTAAGCAATACTCTTAAACAAATACACTATTTCTAATATATAAATATCTCTATCAACTTAAGATTTATATATATGTTTGAATTTATTATTTAAAAATTAAGTGATGATTTTAATAAACTTTGCATTTAATTAAACTCTCAACGTTATACTGTATTAAAAAAAATAAATATATATATATTTCCATAAATAGGATTAATTTAAAACTGCTTAAATCCAAATCCAATTACTAAAACTTATAGAAAATAAACCTACAAACATGCAGAAATTATTGATCGTATTGTTTTGTACAATATCAATACAGACAATATTTCTTAATTGCATTTCAATCTAATCACAGATAAAATTTTCGCAAATTATCTAATATAATAATAAACAAACACTCCTGCCTAAAATAGTAACGAAGTTATAAAAGTTGGAAACGAGTCATGACTATTGCACACAAACAGCAGCTACCGATATCCACGTGGTTTTTCATGAATGAACGAATCTAGGGTCGGCTGCCTGTTGGCATTTTGCCCGTTAGTGGATAGTTTCTCATTCATATAAACTCTTGAAAGAACGTATATATACCAGTGAATACAAGTGAGAAAACAACTGATGCTAAAAATCTCTTTCAGACGTATCAATTTTAATTTCGAAACAGTAGAGATAAAAGTGATCAATAATCATTTTCGTTTCATTTCATTCGGTTGAATTTTTTTATAATCTAAAAAATATTTAATATGTTAAGTGTAAATTAAATATTCCACAGAAATTACACGTTTCAAATGACAGTACTATTTTATAATTTACGACAGTAATTAGATCAGTATTTAAAAATTTACGGCTTAAACCACACACAATCTTATTTTCATGATTGTCGACAATGCTTTTTTATATTTTTTACTTATAATTTATGTTAATTAAAACGCGTATTGCTGTTATAATAAAAATACTTGTACACTCGCAGAAATTATTTTAAGTCGTATGTGACCTTGAACTTGACTAAATATGCCAATTT